CTTGTTCCCAAAAGGAGTCTGATTCAGACCAGGAGCAAGAGGAAGAGGTAAAAGCAGCCAGCGCTTCTCACTTGTGTTCCCATTAGCTCCACTAATCTGTCTCTTCCTCTGTCTGTAGTTTAGACTGTAGCAGTGACTTATCTGTGCTCTGTCCCTCAGTGATAGGTGTAGTGATAGTTTAAATAATTAGCACGTGCAGCGGTCAAAACATCCTAACTGTTTCCATGTGATCTTTTTCAGACCAACAGACTGCTCGAGAAATGTAAGACATACTTTTACTTTGCTCTGCAGCTTGTACTAACGTGGTTGCTGCTCTTTGATAAAATGCATATATTTATTAATCAAAATGATATATCTCATAAATGGTGTGAATAACATTAGTAATGAGAATGCAGAGGAATAACCAGACTCATACATTCGCCCTGAAGTCCATCTTTTCAAAGTTATGTTTCTCTCTACTTTTCTTTTTTTGTAATGATTTACGCCTCATTGTTTCAAATTAATCCAATTTCATTCTTTGACAATGCGAGATTGGAGATACGAAGAAAGAGTTAAACAATGCAACTTACGTATGTACATAAATATGATCTTCATTCATACTGTGGTGATGTTTATGTGACGGCCTATACATATATATCTATGTGCTAGCCTGAAAGCCAGCGTAGCGCCAACACCGTCATAATCGTGGTTGCTGATGTGGTTGCACTTGGCCCTGATTGGCCAGGTGGGTGGAGAGGTGCAGCATTGGGCTTTTATTCTGCATTTCCTCACTTCGTTCTGCATCGGTTAGATCAAAAAGAGACTCAACAGTAACATTATTCACAGCTGCTCATGGGATGTGAGTTAAATGACTGTAGCCGTTACATAGTAACAGAATAAATGACCTTTAAAAGGAGACAAAATGTGATTCGTCATGAGTGAAGCACATCCAGACTCCACCTTCCTAATTCTGAACTTCCTGTTTCTTCCCATTATTGTTGTTGTGGTGCAGTTTGTGCCATGTTGTACTGGGGCTGTGCTGGTATCATATGCTCTAAGCTCCTGAAGTTGGCTACTAGTGTAGTCAGGCTCCTCCCCCTCTCCCCTCCACCATGGCTTGTCTCGTGGTAATGTGAACATGTTAATTATTTAACAAATCGACCCATATTTGTTAGCGTTACGTTTCTAAAGGACGTGTTATTAAGTATCAATGTCACTGACATTTTAAAAACTGGGCCCAGAACTCACCACATTACTGAAAGAAGACAAGCAACCAAGTACCAACTTTCTCATCACTCTTTGACCTCTCCATCATCATTTCCCTTTACTTTGCATGGAAATAACTTGCCATACTTACAAATGAATGTGTGTGCTGTGTGTCTGTGTGATTATACATAACGTCCTCTTAGTGAGAGTTCATTTTGTTTGCTCTGTATGTCACAGTTTTTTGCTTCTGTTTCTATTTTTTGTGAGTTTTCATCACGGTTGTCTTCCAAATGCTGATTTAGTCGAAAGCAGAATGGAGTGAAATAGAATTCCTTCATTCCTTTCTTTGGAATAAAATATATTAGCTTTGCGATAGAGCTAAACATGGCAAATCCTCATACGCCATTTACATTATCACTGGCTTTCTCTCATAGTTAGTGACGTTTTCCATACATCTGAGCAATCTTGAGATGTTTTGATGTTGTTTCTGTTTCACATGTTTTGTTTTGGTTTTGTTGGTTTTGTTGGTTTTGTTGGTTTCTCCGTCACATGCTAGTTTTTTATCAATTCCAGTTTTGATCTGTATTTTTGTCTCGTGAGTGTGGATGCAAGTGTAAAAGCAAGTTATTTCCTGCTCATATCCTTTCCCATTGGTATGTGTTTAGCATTTGCTTTACCACAGCACAGACATATGAAACTACAAGCCTAATTCCTTTGATTCCCTGGTGTACAGTAGAAACCAGTTTGTTGTCCTATGATCCCTGCGGTGTGCTCCAATCTTGTCCTGACCACATTCTCCAATGTCTGTCTCCTTTCATTTAAATTTTTAATTTTCTTTACTCCTTACTTGTTCTTCTTCCGTATGGAAGATGAAGAGACGGAGACGTCAGTCCTGAAATCAGAGCTGATTCGAGAACCAGATCTTCTGTCCGACGTGTCAGAGATGAAACAAGATTTGATCAAAATGACTGTCATCTTGACTGCAGACTCCGCTGAGAAATCCCCTTCCTTAGGAGGGTGTGGTCTAGAGAAAGGGACCGAGGAAGTTTCTGGAGAAGCGTTAGAAACAATGGAAAAAGACTTAGAGAAAGTCAAAGAGGACCTAGAGAAAGTCAGTGAAATACTGAGGAGTGGAACGTATGAGGGTGAGGTGGCAGAGGAGGCAGCGAAAGCAGCTAGAATGGCTGAGGAATGGGTCCTCCTCTCAGACAGTGAGATAGAAGAAGCCAAAAAGATGGCAGCTTTAGAAAATCAAGAGCTCGTCTTACGGGAAAGTAGAGGTAACAGAGGGACTCCCAGACCTAAAGCCATCAAGGACAGTGGTGACCTCAAAGAATACCTGCTGGATGTACCAATAAGCTCTAAAGTTAAAGCCAAAAAAGAGACAAGTTTCCAAGAAAGATTCACTGATGTTGTGCTACGCAAAAGTACTAAACCAACCACTCCAACCAAAGTTCATGACAAACCCGCCACTGGTGATGTTAAAAAGCCAGTGAGACGGAAGGGAAAAGAGCAGGGGAAGGCAGGGGAATCGACAGAAACAGGGAGTCGTCTAAGCGTGCCCACAGCCAAGGCAGCATCCCCTGTGTCCCCAGTGATTGAAGAAACTCCCATCGGATCAATCAAGGACAAAGTCAAAGCCTTACAACAGAAAGTGGAGGCAGAGCAAAAGAGCAAAAAGGTCACTGGAAGCAAACCTACGCATTTGCCTGTTATGAGCAAATCCTCCCCAAAAGCCAAAGAAACCGCTAAGTCAAAGCAGGCCCCGCATAAATCCCCTAAAGCTGATTCTGAAAAACTTGAAGAGACCATGTCAGTTAAAGAGCTGATGCAAGCCTTCCAAACGGGTCAAGACCCCTCAAAGAGAAAGTCGGGGCTATTTCAGCTCAAAACATCATCCAAATCAGAAAAAAGCACTAAATCTGAAACTATCCACACAAAATCCACGACGAAAGCAGCAGCTTCACACGTCCCTCAACAGCGAGAAGTGTCATTGGACTCAAAACCCCAAAAGAAACTGATCCGTCAGCAAGACAAAGACACAAAACCCTCTGCTGATTCAGAGCTAGCTGACACTGTAGACTTTGGAAATGGTGGCCTTGATGATAGCTCTGGCAGCTCTAAACACGAGGGTGTGGCAGACTCCCTAAGTTCTGGAAATGGATCCTCTCATTTGAGCTCTGAAGACAGTTACAAACATGAGGGTCTAGCCACTCCAGGCACAAGCCCTGAAAGTCTAGGTCTTTCTCCCAAAACTGTAAAGCAGACCTCTACAACTTTGGCACCAGCTGCCACAACAGTAAAGAAAGAGAGTAAAGACACAGAGAAGTGTGGGGATTCTGGTATAGGGACCACTGGTGACCAACTCTCTACAGAATTGACCCTCCTTGTCTCTTCCAGCAAGGCTACAGATGACCACACTACAAGTGAGTCTATATCTGTTAAGAGGAGTGAGTCAAAACCACAAAAGCTTACAAAAAGAATTTCAGAGACTATAGAAACTTTTCTTAGCGATGACGAAAGCCCCGATCATCAGCTAGCATTGTCTTTAGTTGGGTCGTCAGCCCCTAGATCCTCGTCTCAGCCTCACGACAGCTTAGACTTACTTTTAAAACAAGACGCAGATGCTCTCAGTCCGTTAGCTGATGACTCTTTAACAATAAGCCACAGAGACTCGTTAGAGGGTAGTCCTCTCATGGAAGAAAATTCCTCCCACAAATCCCCAGACTCTATTGAACCCAGCCCAACTAAGGAATCACCTCCTCATGACTCCTTAGAGAGCAGTCCTGTAGAGCTACAAAGCTGCCCATTCTTCCCACTAGGTCCACCTAGCAAATCCTATAGCCATCCAGAGCCTCCCAAAGATGCAGAATTCCCCGAGGAAACTGTGCCCAGTAGGCTTCTTCGAGACCATGAGGCTAGTGCTGATGATGACAGTTGTGAGCAGACGTCTCAGATGACAAGTTCTGGTAAGAGCCCCCTCTCCCCTGACACTCCTAGTTCTGAAGAGGTAAGTTATGAGGTAAACCCCAAACCCCCTGATCATTCATTCCTCTTTGCTCTATCAAAACCGGCTGTCATCCCTGAAGACCCAGAGGAAGATAATGCATCAGACAGCCACGAAGCTAGGAGAAAGATCACTCCTGAGGAAGAGATGTTTAAGATGGCAGCCAAAATAAAAACGTTTAATGAAATGGAACAAGACGTGAAGAGCAAAACGAAGTCTAGAAAAGATGCCAAAATAGGGGATGACAGCTGTGAAAGTGAGAAGCTATCGCAAAGTGAACGTGGGTTCAGTACGCCCACAGAGGATTCAAAATTAGCTCTTTTTGTTGATCCCCTTATTAAAGTACAACCTCCCTCTCCTTTTTCAGCAGGTTTGAATGATGGATGCCACAGCAAAGAGGCCAAGAGCACATCATCAACCAGTGTCACCTCAGAGGGACCTCACTCTGTCTCAGACCAGCATCATTCAAAATCCCAAATGAAAAAAGAAGAAAGTTGCCCATTATCTCGAAAAGCCCATAAAGACCATAGCAACACAAAGGCATCAACATCAAATACTAAAAATAGGACTGATGAGCAAAAGGAAGAAAGCTTAAGGAAGTCAAGGGAAGGTAGAGGAGATGGTACGCATGGTCACGAGTTAGAGATTAGTGAGCCACAGACAGGTGTGCTGAGATGTAGTAATGTCACAGATGAAGTTAAAGGAGATCAGGCCGGACTCTGTGAAACTGTTATTACAAGTAAGACAAGGGAAACGTTTAAACCAGAGGTCTGTATCTACGATGACACAGAGGACGACGACACACCTCCCAGGACCGAGTCCAAAGGTGTCACTGCAAGGGTAGATACAGAGTCTTGGTCTGCAATGCGGGAGGATGATGCCACGTTCGAAGCTCGCGTAAAAGAGGAGGAACAGAAGATACTGAATCTGGTTGTTGACCGTCAGTCTCCAGACACCACGCCTGGTAGGACACCAACAGAAGAGAGCACTCCCACCAGTGAGCCCAATCCCTTTCTATTCCAGGAAGGGAAGCTCTTTGAGATGACCCGCAGTGGTGCTATTGACATGACAAAGAGGAGCTACGAGGAAGAGGCTGTTGGCTTTGCCTTTTTCCAGATAGGAGAACAGCCTTTAGAGGAGCCTATCTTAGAAGAGCCCAGACAAGAGAGTCAAAGATCTGCTGCAGAACCGGAAGTTGGTCTCAATTTAACACTAGAGGTTAAGACTGATAACAGTGAGCAATCCAAAGAAACCGCTGGTTCACAGCTTCAGTCCTCGCCTGAAAATGAACAGCCAAGCTGCAAAGCTGATGCCTCCAAATCTAAAATCCCCAAAATGGGCATTTCAGCTTCAGCTAAACCTACAAAGAAAGATCAGACATCCCCAGAACTTCTAGAGACGAAAGCAGAGATAACTGAAAGATCCTTAGATTTAGACACGAGTTCGCTTGGTCAAATGATAACAAATGTACAGACGGCAGATACTACTATAACTAGATCAGTTTACTCTGAGCAGGGGGAAGAGTCCTCTGACTCTTCTCCAGAGGAACCACAGTCAGTAATAGAAGCCCCCAAAACAACAGGGAAATCCAAACAAAGCGCTTCCAGTAGTGTTAAAAAGACTCCAGTCAAAGCACCAGCTAAGCCTACTTCTTCTCAAGGCCGCGCTAAATCAACAATCCATTCTCCATCTCATGCAGTTTCCCCTTCCAGCACTCCTAAAAAAGAGGCCATCTCTACTTCTGAATCTAAATCTAGAATTCCCGTTAAAGCTAGCACGATGAAGCCTGACTCTACTGTCAAACGAGCTGAAAATAACCAAGACAAAAAACTTAAGGTCCCTGTGAAAAAGGATACAAGGAGAAAATCTGAGACAGACGCAGGTCCCTCTGTGGATGTCAAAACCAAGACTCCATCTTCCAAAGCCAAGAGTTTCTGTGAGGGGGAGTCTCCCAGGTCATCTAAAAAAGAACAGGGTCGTCCTTTGAGTGCTGAGGCGGCAAAATCTAAGGGTTTTCAGTCCAGATTGCCAGTCCGAGGCAAAAGCGGTCAGTCATCACATTCAACAACACCCACTAAAGAAAAAAGGGAGCCCTATAAAGAGCCCGTTGAGTTCTTTGAAGAGATAAGTGACGAAGCAGCAAAACTGGTGGCGAGGTTGGCACAGGCAGACAGAGAGCAAGAGGTTGAGGCCACCGTCTCAGATGATGAGAGCAGTCTCATTGATCCTTTAGTCATAGAAAGAGAACATTTCCCAGAGATGCAGTTCCCTCCCTCAGGAGACATCTTTCCCATTAGACCACTGTGGGACGAACCTGTTGAGACACAGATGCAGCGAATCCCAGACGATAAAGTCCAAAGTCAAGGTATCCCCCCAGTTTAAGGGGCTATTCTCTATCTCTTGTGCCTCATTAGTACGATAGCTAAAGGTGCTGCCTCTCTGTCTCTTGTGATTATGTCTTCTTGAAGTAAAAACATGTTGCTTGAGCTGTGTTTTTGTTCGTAATGATGTCTCACTTTCCTTGTATGTGTGCTGAAAATCTCAAGATTGACTTAAAGGCTTTATTGTGAAAATAACTTTAAAGATTAAAATGTGACTAATAATATCCAGAACAATTAAGTGTAATGGCAACAATTGATTGAAATGACACATCATGCTCTAGGCTGTAGGTCTGGATCCTTAATTAATCCTATGTAAAGACATCGTTAGTCAAACACGAAAAAGAAAGCCAGTGAAGGTGTTTTACTTTTTGTGAACATTTGGAACACATTGCGGTTCTGACCGCTCATGGCTGTCTGGTGGTATTTGCAGTAGATCCACAGGATGAAGCAGAGAGAAAAGAGCAACGGTTGGCCATTATAGCTGACCACCTTGGCTTCAGCTGGACGGGTGAGTGACACCTCATCACAGCGATGAAGCGCTCAAGCTCAATGCATAGTTGGCAGGCCCTCAAGATACACCAGATGTATCTTCAAATATTCACGATTGTTACTGTGTCATCTTCTCACCAACAGAGTTAGCACAGGAGCTTGACTTCAGTGAGGAGAGGATCAATGAGATAAGAACTGGAAACCCCAACTCACTTCAAGACCAAAGCCATGCTCTTCTGAAAGTCTGGACAGAGAGGGAGGGAAATCTCGCCACGGGTCAGTGTTTAGTTCCTGTAGTTGGTACACATTTCTCAGAATTATTGCTTTTTACTGTGAAAGTGAAACTTTGATTCTGTTTGAACAGAAGCAACACTTATCAAAAGACTGACAAAGATCAATCGAATGGATATTGTTCACCTTATTGAAAGCAGGACGTCTGAAGAAGAAACCTCACATACGTATGCAGAAATCGAGTGGACCATAGCACAGGACCATAGTGAAGGTGCACAAGCTAACCAAATACTTTGAGTATACAATAATAAAACAGAAAACTGGAAGATTCATGCACAAGATTAGGTGATGTCTTCTAGTTACTAGACGTTTACTAGAATCTAGTAAACTTGTGATATGACCGTGAGCTGTTGGCTGTTGAGAGGTTCTAAGGCTTCCTGTCCTGTGTGCCCGATCAGGTTTCTCTGCTCTTCATGAAGACATGGACAGCCCCAGGATCAGCAAGCGTACAGAGGCTGCAAAAACGAGTCCACGCTCAGGACAACAGGTTCCCATAGTGTCAGCAGAAGACCTTTCATCCAGTTTGTCATCCCTTCACGAGACAACAGGACGAC